TAGTCCCTTTAAAAATATTTTTAAAAAAATCCACGCCTAATTATAGTCCCTTTAAAAATATTTTTAAAAAAATCCACGCCTAATTATAGTCCCTTTAAAAATATTTTTAAAAAAATCCACGCCTAATTATAGTCCCTTTAAAAATATTTTTAAAAAAATCCACGCCTAATTATAGTCCCTTTAAAAATATTTTTAAAAAATCCACGCTTATGTTAAGCTATTTAAAAAATATTTTTAAATAAATCCACGCCTAATTATAGTCCCTTTAAAAATATTTTAAAAAATCCACGCTTATATTAAGCTATTTAAAAATATTTTTAAAAAAATCCACGCCTAATTATAGTCCCTTTAAAAATATTTTTAAAAAATCCACGCTTATATTAAGCTATTTAAAAAATATTTTTAAAAAAATCCACGCCTAATTATAGTCCCTTTAAAAATATTTTTAAAAAATCCACGCTTATGTTAAGCTATTTAAAAAGTACTTTTAAAAAATCCACGCTTATGTTAAGCTATTTAAAAAATATTTTTATAAAATCCACGATGATTTTAAGCTCGATTATAATTCCATAAAATCTCGATTCCACGCTCGATTATAATTGCATAAAAAAATATTTTTAAAAAATCCACGCTCGATTATAATTGCATAAAAAAATATTTTTAAAAAATCCACGCTCGATTATAATTGCATAAAAAAATATTTTTAAAAAATCCACGCTCGATTATAATTGCATAAAAAAATATTTTTAAAAAATCCACGCTCGATTATAATTGCATAAAAAAATATTTTTAAAAAATCCACGCTCGATTATAATTGCATAAAAAAATATTTTTAAAAAATCCACGCTCGATTATAATTGCATAAAAAAATATTTTTAAAAAATCCACGCTCGATTATAATTGCATAAAAAAATATTTTTAAAAAATCCACGCTCGATTATAATTGCATAAAAAAATATTTTTTAAAAAATTCACGCTCGATTATAATTCCATAAAAAAATATTTTTTAAAAAATCCATGCTCGATTATAATTCCATAAAAAAATATTATTTAAAAAATCCACGCTCGATTATATTTCCATAAAAAAATATTTTTAAAAAATCCACGCTTATTTATAACTCCTTAAATAATATTTTTAAAAAATCCACGCTCGATTATAATTCCTTTAAAAATATTTTTAAAAAATCCACGCTCGATTATAATTCCTTTAAAAATATTTGTAAAAAATCCACGCTTAATTATAATCCCTTTAAAAATATTTGTAAAAAATCCACGCTTAATTATAATTCCTTTAAAAATATTTGTAAAAAATCCAAGCTTAATTATAATCCCCTTAAAAATATTTTTAAAAAATCCACGCTTAATTATAATCCCTATAAAAATATTTTTAAAAAATCCACGCTTGTTTTTAGTTAATTTAAAAAAAAAATCCACGGTCGATTATAATGCCTTTAAAAATATTTTTAAAAAATCCACGCTCGATTATAATGCCTTTAAAAATATTTTTAAAAAATCCACGTTCATTATAAGTTGTGTAAAAAATATTTTTAAAAAATCCTCGCACATTTTAAGTCGTTTAAGAAATATTTTTAAAAAATTCACGCTCATTTTAAGCCGTTTAAAAAATATTTTTAAAACCCCACGCTCATACTAATTCTTTTAAAAAATTCACCCTCATTTTAATTATTTTAAACAATATTTTTAAAAAATCCACGCTCGAATATAATTCCTTTAAAAATATTTATGAATAAACCACTATTCCTTTAAAAACTATTTAAAAAATCGAATACAATTTATAATCCCTTTAATTATAATCCCTTTAAAAATATTTTTAAAAAAATCCACGCCTAATTATAGTCCCTTTAAAAATATTTTTAAAAAAATCCACGCCTAATTATAGTCCCTTTAAAAATATTTTTAAAAAAATCCACGCCTAATTATAGTCCCTTTAAAAATATTTTTAAAAAAATCCACGCCTAATTATAGTCCCTTTAAAAATATTTTTAAAAAAATCCACGCCTAATTATAGTCCCTTTAAAAATATTTTTAAAAAAATCCACGCCTAATTATAGTCCCTTTAAAAATATTTTTAAAAAAATCCACGCCTAATTATAGTCCCTTTAAAAATATTTTTAAAAAAATCCACGCCTAATTATAGTCCCTTTAAAAATATTTTTAAAAAAATCCACGCCTAATTATAGTCCCTTTAAAAATATTTTTAAAAAAATCCACGCCTAATTATAGTCCGTTTAAAAATATTTTTAAAAAATCCACGCTTATGTTAAGCTATTTAAAAAATATTTTTAAATAAATCCACGCCTAATTATAGTCCCTTTAAAAATATTTTTAAAAAATCCACGCTTATATTAAGCTATTTAAAAAATATTTTTAAAAAAATCCACGCCTAATTATAGTCCCTTTAAAAATATTTTTAAAAAATCCACGCTTATGTTAAGCTATTTAAAAAATATTTTTATAAAATCCACAATCATTTTAAGTCTTTAAAAAAATATTTAAAAAAAATCCACGCTTATGTTAAGCTATTTAAAAAGTACTTTTAAAAAATCCACGATGATTTTAAGCTCGATTATAATTCCATAAAATCTCGATTCCACGCTCGATTATAATTGCATAAAAAAATATTTTTAAAAAATCCACGCTCGATTATAATTGCATAAAAAAATATTTTTAAAAATCCACGCTCGATTATAATTGCATAAAAAAATATTTTAAAAAATCCACGCTCGATTATAATTGCATAAAAAAATATTTTTAAAAAATCCACGCTCGAATATAGTTGCATAAAAAAATATTTTTAAAAAATCCACGCTCGATTATAATTGCATAAAAAAATATTTTTAAAAAATCCACGCTCGATTATAATTGCATAAAAAAATATTTTTTAAAAAATTCACGCTCGATTATAATTCCATAAAAAAATATTTTTTAAAAAATCCATGCTCGATTATAATTCCATAAAAAAATATTTTTTAAAAAATCCACGCTCGATTATATTTCCATAAAAAAATATTTTTAAAAAATCCACGCTTATTTATAACTCCTTAAATAATATTTTTAAAAAATCCACGCTCGATTATAATTCCTTTAAAAATATTTTTAAAAAATCCACGCTCGATTATAATTCCTTTAAAAATATTTGTAAAAAATCCACGCTCGATTATAATTCCTTTAAAAATATTTGTAAAAAATCCACGCTTAATTATAATCCCTTTAAAAATATTTGTAAAAAATCCACGCTTAATTATAATTCCTTTAAAAATATTTGTAAAAAATCCACGCTTAATTATAATCCCCTTAAAAATATTTTTAAAAAATCCACGCTTAATTATAATCCCTATAAAAATATTTTTAAAAAAACCACGCTTATTAATAACTCCTTTAAAAATATTTTTTAAAAAATCCACGCTTATTTATAACTCCTTTAAAAATATTTTTTAAAAAATCCACGCTTATTTATAACTCCTTTAAAAATATTTTTTAAAAAATCCACGCTTATTTATAACTCCTTTGAAAATATTTTTTAAAAAATCCACGCTTATTTATAACTCCTTTAAAAATATTTTTTAAAAAATCCACGCTTATTTATAACTCCTTTAAAAATATTTTTTAAAAAATCCACGCTTATTTATAACTCCTTTAAAAATATTTTTTAAAAAATCCACGCTTATTTATAACTCCTTTAAAAATATTTTTTAAAAAATCCACGCTTATTTATAACTCCTTTAAAAATATTTTTTAAAAAATTCACGCTTAATTATAATCCCTTTGAAAATATTTTTAAAAAATCCACGCTTAATTATAATTCCTTTGAAAATATTTTTAAAAAATCCACGCTTAATTATAATCCCTTTGAAAATATTTTTAAAAAATCCACGCTTAATTATAATCCCTTTGAAAATATTTTTAAAAAATCCACGCTTAATTATAATCCCTTTGAAAATATTTTTAAAAAATCCACGCTTAATTATAATCCCTTTGAAAATATTTTTAAAAAATCCACGCTTAATTATAATCCCTTTGAAAATATTTTTAAAAAAATCCACGCTTATGTTAAGTTATTTAAAAAATATTTTTAAAAAATCAACGCATAATTATAGTGCCTTTAAAAATATTTTTAATAAATCCACGCATAATTATAGTGCCTTTAAAAATATTTTTAAAAAATCCACGCATAATTATAGTGCCTTTAAAAATATTTTTAAAAAATCCACGCTTGTGTTAAGTTATTTAAAAAATATTTTCAAAAAATCCATGCTTTGGAAATATTTTTTAAAAATCCATGCTTTTGGAAATATTTTTAAAAAATCTAAAAAAAAATAATTTTTCTCGTTTTTAACTTCAGCCATTTATGCCAAAGGAAAACAAAAGACTTAAGACACAAACTCGTTTTTTTGCAAAAGCCCATTGAAATAATTTTCGATTTTATTGTTGAACACATATCATTTCAATTATCCATGAAATTGTAAATTTATACAATTTAACGAAACTAAGAGAAAAAATATGAACCTATGAGACCCATGGGGTTGATGATGATGGCGATTGCTGCTGTGATTATTTTGCAAAAAATTGTTATTTTGGTCAAAAGACATTTGCTTTATTTCTCATACAAATGAATGAATCAATGAATTTGGCTGCTACTTGAACAGAAAAAGCCATCAAATATTGAATTGAAATTTTTGGGGGTTTTGGATTCATCTTCACTGTTGTTGTTGTTGGTGGTGATGGCTTTTTTTGATATGTCATTAGGTCAGGGCTTCACAGAGGTATTCTAATGTGTGTTTGTATGTGTGCCTCGACTGGCATTCATGTGTAAAAGGCCAAATGATGGTGGTCAGTTGGCCGGACAGTCATGATTGAAGAAGTCCAATAAATTTAAATGTTAATTTCGATTTTTCTAGTTACTAGACCAGATCAATTTTTCATTTTCAAATCACTAATGTATTCTTGCGTTTTCGGTTCTCCCCCTGTCTCTTCCCCAGATATTTCGTATCCAATGTCTTGCAGTTTCAAATCTATCGTGGCATGTGTCGTGCTGCTGGTCAATATGATCCCAATGATCCGCGAAAACCTCTGCACAAATGTGATGTCTATCGGCGCCCTGAAGCGGGCAATTTATTAAAGTGAGTATTCAACCATGCCAACTGATAATTCTATTCGGAAAATTGCCAAAAATTTGGTTGACTAATGAATGCGTATCGTTACAGGGAAATAATGGCCAAAGGCTCCTCACAACCGTGGCAGGAAATCATGGAAGAAGCATTGGGCGAAGGCCGCCTAGATGGCTCGGCATTGCGTGAATATTTTGCCCCACTCGAGGAATGGTTGCGTTTGGAGAATTTACGTACCAATGAATATGTTGGCTGGAATTATGACGGCGATTACTGTAAACGTAGCATAGAAACGGCCAATCTTCAAGTCTTCGGTGGCTACTATAATCATGGCCAATCATCGCTGGTGTCGAATCTGGGCTACACCATGGTCTTGGCGTCTGTAATTTCGTCATATTTACTAGTATTAGTTTTAATCAAGTGGTAATATCAATTTGTAAATTCAAGCTATTAATGTTAAATGACCAAAAAACGGAATGAATTGAAAACATTTAGCAATTATTTTTGTTATTTAATACTAAAAAAAAAACCAAGTCATTTTAATTCACTTGACTTAAAAGTCAATAATAAAATTGCATAATTTAGTTTGTATTGGCGGCAATTCTTTGAAGGGGTGGATATTCGGACTAAGAATTTTTTAGACATTTTGAATTATCCTTTGCATATTTTTTGAATATATTTAAAAATCCACGGTTATAGAAGGTCCTGAAAAGAAATATTTTTAAAAACCCCCGTTATAAAAGGTCCTCAAAAGAAATATTTTTAAAAATCCATGATTATGGAAGGTCTTCAAAAGAAATATTTTTAAAATCCACGATTATGGAAGGTCCTCAAATGAAATATTTTTAAAAATTTACGATTATGGAATGTTCTCAAAAGAAATATTTTTAAAAACCCACAATTACGGAAGGCCTTCAAAAGAAATATTTTTAAAAATCCACGATTATGGAAGGTCCCCAAAAGAAATATTTTTAAAAATCCACGATTATGGAATTTCCTCAAAAGAAGTATTTTTAAAAACCCCCGTTATAGAAGGTCCTCAAAAGAAATATTTTTAAATATCCACGATTATGGAAGGTCCTCAAAAGAAATATTTTTAAAAATCCACGATTATGGAAGGTCCTCAAAAGAAATATTTTTAAAAATCCACGGTTATAAAAGGTCCTTAAAAGAAATATTTTTAAAAACTCAGAATTATAGAAAGTCAGTAAAAAATATTTTTAAAAATCCACGATTATGGAAGGTCCTCAAAAGAAATATTTTTAAAAATCCACGATTATGGAAGGTCTTCAGAAGAAATATTTTTAAAAATCCACGGTTATACAAGGTACTCAAACAAAATATTTTAAAAAATCCACGATTATGGGAGGTCTTCAAAATAAATATTTTTAAAAACTCACAATTATAGAAAGTCAGTAAAAAATATTTTTAAAAATCCACGAAATCCACCAAAAAAATATTTTTAAAAATCCACGATTGCAGAAGGTTTTCAAAATAAATATTTTTAAAAATCCACGATTATGGGAGGTCCACAAAAAAATATTTTTAAAAATCCACGATTATACAAGGTACTCAAAATAAATATTTTTAAAAATCCACGGTTGTACAAGGTCCTTAAAAGAAACATTGGGAGGTCCTCAAAATAAATATTTTCAAAAATTCACGATTATGGAAGGTCCTCAAAAGAAATATTTTTAAAAATCCACGATTATGGAAGGTCCTCAACAGAGATATTTTTAAAAATTCACGACTATAGAAAGTCCTCAAAAGAAATATTTTTAAAAATCCACGATTATGGAAGGTCCTCAACAGAGATATTTTTAAAAATTCACGACTATAGAAAGTCCTCAAAAGATCCTCGATTATGGAAGGTCCTCAAAAGAAATATTTTTAAAAATCCACGATTATGGAAGGTCTTCAAAAGAAATATTTTTAAAAATTCACGATTATGGAAGGCCCTCAAAAGAAAAAAATCACGATGATACAATGTCAGTAAAAAATATTTTAAAAATCCACGATTATAGAAGGTCCTCAAAAGAAATATTTTTTAAAAACCCCGATTATAGAAGGTCCTTAAATGAAATATTTTTAAAAATCCACAATTCTAGAAGGTTCTCAAAAGAAATATTTTTAAAAATCCACGATTATGGAAGGTCCTCAAAATAAAAATATTTTTAAAAATCCACGATTATGGAAGGTCCTCAAAAGACATATTTTTAAAATCCGCGATTATATAAGGTCCTCAAAAGAAATATTTTTAAAAATCCACGGTTATACAAGGTCCTCAAAAGAAATATTTTTAAAAATCCACGATCATGGAAGGACCTCAAAAGAAATATTTTTAAAAATCCACGGTTATGGAAGAACCTCAAAAGAAATATTTTTAAAAATCCACGATCATGGAAGGACCTCAAAAGAAATATTTTTAAAAATCCACGGTTATGGAAGATCCTCAAAAGAAATATTTTTAAAAATCCACGATTATGGAAGCCCCTCAAAAGAAATATTTTTAAAAATCCACGATTATAGAAAGTCAGTAAAAAATATTTTTAAAAATCCACGATAATGGAAGGTCCTCAAAATAAATATTTTTAAAAATCCACGGTTATAGAAAGTCAGTAAAAAATATTTTTAAAATCCACGATTATGGAAAGTCCTCAAAAGAAATATTTTTAAAAATTCACGATTATGGAAGGTCCTCAAAAGAAATATTTATACAAATCCACGATTATGAAAGGTCCTCAAAAGAAGTACTTTTAAAAATCCACAACTTTGAAAAACTAATCCACAACTTTGAAAAAAAAAAATTAATGAACGGTCGTTAAAAAATATTTTTAAGAATTCCTGATTATGGGAGGTCTTTAAATTTGTTTTTTCAAAATCCACACTTACAGACCACTGCAAACACTTTTAGTTTTCAACTCACTCATACGAACACCTGTATTTCTGGTTAATTTAGGTCTGGAAGGTCATTTAAAAATATTTAGTTAAAAATCGCCTCGAAAATTCTTTAATTCTAATTCAATAATATTATTTTTTAAATCATATTATATTTTTATTTTTTAATTTAAAAATAACCTATTCGAAAATATTTTTGTAATTTTTTTCTTCAGAGTCTTTATTTTAAGCCAATGCTGGAATATACCTAATTTTTACATTATCCACCCCTCCGGAGAATAATATTTTGTACGCCAATATAATGTTACAGTTGAAGATATTTTAAGAGGATTGCAAAAAATCATTTATTTTAATTTTTTTTTAAATTAAACTAAGATAATTTTAAAGAAAAAATGGATATATATATAGAAACTAATCACCAAATATAATAAATATTTTGATATCATTAAAATAAACAAAACGATATTTTTATTACTCAATCAAAACAAGTTTATTCCTCACTCAATATTGAGTCAATGGGGGACCGACTAGATTAGTCGAAATCACATACTCTGGTGAGTATCATCCAATTAAACTGCATTTAAATATTTTATAATTTAAATCTTTTATTAAAAATTAGATGGAAAATTATACAGAGGTAAAATATTTTTAGATTTTTTAATCTTGGTATTATGAAATTTTAAAAATGTTGATGTGATTTTAAAATTTTAAAAATGTAAAAATCCACGATTATTTAGAGTCATTAAAAAATATTAATAAAAAAATCTTTTAAAAATCCACGACTATTTAGAGTCATTAAAAAATATTTATAAAAAAAATAATTTTAAAAATCCATGACTAATTAGTCATTTAAAAATATTAAAAAAAATATTTTTAAAAATCCACGATCATTTACAGTCATTAAAAAAAATTAAAAATCCACAGCTATTTAGAGTAATTTTAAAAACCACGACTATTTGGAGTCATTAAAAAAATGTTTTTAAAAATCATTAAAAAATATTTATAAAAAAATATTTTTATAAATTCACTACTATTAAGAGTCATTAAAAAAATATTTTTAAAAATCCCCGACTATTTAGAATCATTGAAAAAATATTTTTAAAAATCCACGATCATTTTGAGTCTTTAAAAAAATATCTTTAAAAATCCACGACCATTTAGATTCATTAAAAATTATTTTTAAAAATCCATGACTATTTAGAGTCATTAAAAATATCTTTTAAAATCCACGACCATTTAGATTCATTAAAAATTATTTTTAAAAATTCATGACTATTTAGAGTTATTAAAAAAATATTTTTAAAAATCCAGGACTATTTAGAGTTATTAAAAAATATTTTTAAAAATCCACGACTATTTAGAGTTATTAAAAAAATATCTTTAAAAATCCACGAATATTTAGACTCATTAAAAAATATTTATAAACAAATAGTTTTAAATATTTACGATTATTTAGAGACATTAAAAAAATATTTTTAAAAATCCACGACAATTTAGAGTGACTAAAAAATATTTTTAAAAATCCACGAAAATTTAGAGTGACTAAAAAATATTATTAAAAATCCACGACCATTTAGAGTCATTAAAAAAATGTTTTTAAAAATCCACGACTATTTAGAGTCATTAAAAAAATATTTTTAAAAATCCACGACCATTTAGAGTCATTAAAAAATATTTATAAAAAAAATATTTTTAAAAATCCACAACTATTTAAATTCTTTATAAAATACATTTTTAAAAATCCACGACTGTTTGAATTCTTTATAAAATACATTTTTAAAAATCCACGACTATTTAGATTCTTTAAAAAATACATTTTTAAAAATCCACGACTATTTAGAGTCATTAAAAAATATTTTTAAAAATCCACGACTATTTAGATTCATTAAAAAAATATTTTTAACAATCCACGACTATTTAGAGTCATTCAAAAAATATTTTTGAAAATCCACGAATATTTAGATTCATTAAAAAAATATTTTAAAAATCAACGACTAGTTAGAGTCATTAAAAAAATATTTTAAAAAAATCCACGACTATCTAAATTCTTTAAAAATTGTTATTAAAAATCCACTATTATTTAGAGTCATTAAAAAATATTTAAAAAAATCCATGTCTATTTAGATTCATAAAAAAATATTTTAAAAAAATCCACGACCATTTAGAGTCATTAACAAATATTTATAAAAAAAATATTTTTAAAAATCCACGATTTATTAAAATTTATTTCAGATTTATTAAAAAATGTTTTCAAAAATCCACGACGATTTAGAGTCATTAAAAAAATATTTTTAAAAATCCACGACCATTTAGAGTTATTAAAAATATATTTTTAAAAATCCACGACTATTTCAATCAACGTCTATTTGGAGTCATTAAAAAAATATTTTTAAAAATCCACGACTATTCAGAGTCATTAAAAAATATTTTTAAAAATCCACGACTACTTAGAGTCATTAAAAAAAGTTTAAAATTCCACGGCTATTCAGATGCATCAAAAAAATATTTGAAAAAATCCACGTCTATTTAGATTCATTAAAAAAATAATTTTAAAAATTTATTTAGTTTCATTAAAAAAATATTTTTAAAAATCCACAATTATGGAAGGTCATTAAAAAAATATTTTTAAAAATCCACGACTATTTAGATTCATTAAAAAAAAATATTTTTAAAAATCTACAATTATGGAAGGTCATTAAAAAAATATTTTTAAAAATCCACGACTATTTAGATTCATTAAAAAATATTTTTAAAAATCCACAATTATGGAAGGTAATTAAAAAATATTTTTAAAAATCCACGACTATTTAGATTCATTAAAAAAATATTTTTAAAAATCCACGACTATTTAGATTCATTAAAAAAAAATATTTTTAAAAATCCACAATTATGGAAGGTCATTAAAAAAATATTTTTAAAAATCCACGACTATTTAGATTCATTAAAAAATATTTTTAAAAATCCACAATTATGGAAGGTAATTAAAAAAATATTTTTAAAAATCCACGACTATTTAGATTCATTTAAAAAATATTTTTAAAAATCCACGACTATTTAGATTCATTAAAAAATATTTTTAAAAATCCACGACTATTTAGATTCATTAAAAATATATTTTTAAAAATCCACGACTATTTAGATTCATTAAAAAATATTTTTAAAAATCCACGACTATTTAGATTCATTAAAAAAATATTTTTAAAAATCCACGACTATTTAGATTCATTAAAAAAAATATTTTTAAAAATCCACAATTATGGAAGGTCATTAAAAAAATATTTTTAAAAATCCACGACTATTTAGATTCATTAAAAAAAATATTTTTAAAAATCCACGACTATTTAGATTCATTAAAAAAATATTTTTAAAAATCCACGACTATTAAATTCATTAAAAAAATATTTTTAAAAATTCACGACCATTTAGAGTCATTAAAAAACTATTTTTAAAAATCCACGACCATTAACATTCATTAAAAATATATTTTTTTTAAAAATTCACGATTATTTAGAGTCATAAAAAATATTTTTAGAAATCAACGACTTTTAAAATTCACGATTTTCTAAAATTGTATTTATTACTCTTCGTAAAAATATTAATTTCCTAATATAAATTAAATTTTTAATTTTATTTATTCCCACTTATTTGCAAATGTATTTTATGTTTCCACTTTTCCATTGACAAAAACCCATTTATTATAAATCGTTTTAACTGTTCCCATAAATTGCTGTTTTATTTTTTATCTATCGTATAATTAAAAATAAATTACTTAATATATCTTAATTGAATTGAAAACCACCCAACACAAAAACAAAAGCCAGAAAAACTAAGAAAATAAATTTCTACTTCCGTTTTCGTTTGACAACTCAGCTACTTTTTTGTTTCGTTCTCAAATAAATCTAGCAAACGAC